AGAGTATACACACATACATATACATATACATATACACATGCACATATATAATTTTGCACCCTCATCAGCAAAAAAAATTTTTGATTAACCCCTCAAACATCAGCTTCATATTTTTTCAATAATTTCACTTTGATCATTTTACCAAATAAATTAATTGAATCAGCATTTTTTTAACCGCTGTCCAAGTTATTCCACAATCTTATTCCTTGAACTGAGGTACATCTATCCTTCAAGTTTGTTCGAATTTTAGGTTTTATAAACATTTCAAATCCTTTCAAATTATAACAACTTTCCCTCTTAACAAAATTTGATTGAATGTTCAAAGGCCTTTATGAGCCTTATACATAATCAACAAAATCTTATAATCAACTAACTCATAAAATTTTAGTAATTTCAATTGCTGAAACAATACATTAGATGGGTGATTGTAATGTTTTCTGGTAATTTTTACAGCTCTTTTTTTGCAGAATAAGAATAGAATTTGTAAATGTTTTACATGCCTTACCCCAAATTTCAACACAATAAATCAAATGTTTTCAATGTAATGATCACATAACTTTCATTTGTTGAGTGAAGAAATATTTTTGTTTCTTGCCACCTGGAACATCTCAATATTTGAAGTTTCCTTTTTATAATGACGTCAAAAATGTCTCATTTAAATTACATAAAATTAGGAGTCAGATCAAGTATTATTGTATTATTGTAACCAACAAGACAAATTAAGTCATGTATCTGGATCAAAATGTAGCTTTTAACACCAGTAATCTGAAAATGTGATTTCGTCATTTTGACCAAATTTGACTTAATCCTTATTTTGATATGATGGGTCACATTTAGTAATGTAATCCTGTTTGCTGTSAAATACTGGTAAGTTCTCAATAAGTTTGAGTCACATTAAATCAATAAGTTGTTTTTGTTTAAATCAGAAAAGCCCAATAACTCAGCCTTTAATAGTTACACTGGCACACTGTCCAGACAATCCTACAAAGTCAACTCCACCACTTAACATCGTAARTCATGACATTCATAAAATCTAAACCTTTAAGCACTTCAAATCTTCATAGATCACTCATAGATCTCGGTTCACTCATTCAAACAGAACATAGATTTCTCCACCTGCAAGAACATTTTCTATCGATTTGTTTCTTTTCTCCAGCAACAGAAGACAATGATCCTGAAAATGGAAGATTGTGAGCTTTACTAAATGATGGGCATGGCTTCTCTACATACTGCTWTTACTCTTACTGAGACAAGAAGACCAGTTTTTTTTTTTTTCAATGCTGCCGTGTTGTTGAGAAGTTTCTGCCTCACAGGTGGCTCTGYCGAGGCTTTCTGACTGAGCTGAGGGAGGTGGGTTCCTGACAAACGTGCAGTCAGTACATTACAGTCAAACTGACAGGTACAACTGTAGCAAGTGAGTAGAACAGCTGGCTGTCATGTACAACACTGGTCCTGAGGTCGCAGAGGATTTCAGGCTGGTTTCATTTAGGGGCAATCAGTGCTTTTGCCTCTTGTAATTGTTTTCCGGTGTTTTAATCAAAAATTAATTTACAGTATTAAAAAAATGTGCATTTTCATTCCCCTTGTTTTGTCCAGAGCAGGATTAACAGCACTTTTAAGACAGTTGTGATATATTTACACAAAGTACACAAAACAAGAACATAAAAAAATATTATTAGCAGCTGCAAAGTAGCATTATGGACGAGAGCCTGAGATGGAGTGAAAAATGGGAAGGCGTAGATGGCAGTGAGGGTTTAGCACTCAGAGAGCTGTTGGGAAGGCAGAAGAAGCTGCGCATGGAGCTGGTGGCCAAGTCAAACAGAGCTGGATGGAGCAAGCAGGGTTGGAGGCAAGTGTTCAGGCCAACGTGTCAACATGGAGATGAGGGAGAAAACAGTTAAAATAGAAACAAAATATCCACCCAGGGAACAAAAACTCATAATTCACTACAGTGGCTACAGAGTGTGTGCCACCTCGAACCCTGATTCAACAAACTGAATGAAAGTGGATGAGAAGCCAAATCCATTTGCTCATCTTGTAGCATCAAGGTCAGACCTGTTTATGATGCATTGATTGTCAATACAAAAATGTCACCGGCATAAGGCTTAACACTCAGAAACTTTTAGTTTTGTTTTTTTGTCTTGTCTCTCTGAAATTTATTTTATTAATACTTACACATCTTGTTTGCACAAAATACCATCAGTTATTTATTAGACACWGTTTTCAGTTTGGTTCATTTCAGTTTATTCATTTCTTTAAAAAACAACATAAATTCAACATACAACAAAAATTCAAATCATAAGTTAAATGAAAGGTAGCAGAAGAAGATAAAATCTTATTATATCTGCCCCTTTTTCTCAAATACATAAACACAGGTTTAACTCCTTGAACAACAATTCATACATTTACATATTTGTCCAGCAAATTATTCTTCCAGCATTTTGGTAGGTTATAGTTTCATAAAATATCATTTGGCACAACAAACTTATCTTTTCCCCTCATGAGTACTTAAAAATATATTTTATACTCAAAATATGGCTGTTTTATATTAACAATCCCAAATACATCAATCTTTTATTTTATTTGTCTGTTTATTTTCCAGYAGGGTTTAAAAGGACAGTTTGGCCTGTTGTTTCTGACCTGGTTAACTGGACTGACAGAGAGTCTCTCTGAATTATCGCAGCATTTATTTGGGATGTAGAGGCAGCCAGTGATCCAAAAAAGGGTTGAAAAGGTCACTAACTGTGAAGAGAAGCAATCAGTAGCCAGCGTTGACTGCAATGTTGTTTCAGATTGAGCAGCGGCAGTCATTGGTTGAAGCTTTTGTAATTGAACAACAAAAGTTTGCTGAAAGTGCACATTTACTGTGGGAGCTGATGTCTATCTTTTCTACTAAAAAAAAGCAAGATAAGAAGATCTGGTATTCAATAGTAAAATAAAAGTGAATAAAAACAAACAATTGAAAAACAGATCTGACGTTCTCACTGTTACTGATGGTCCATGATCCTCAGCTCAGTTTGCAGCCAAATGGGAAGTGACTGGGAAGTCCAAGGTCATTTTCCTGATCCGATAAAAGCTGAACGTTCACTTGGAGTTGGGGAGGAGTCTCTAACTTAAGCAACATAGATCAAGTATTTTGGTATCTTGACAGTAGGATGGAGCAAGTGATGGAGAACTGGACTGGAGAGCCTTCTGTAAAGAAGAGATGACCAAAAGAATGAGATTCATAGATCACAAACGTTTGAAGAGTTTCGTCCAGAGTGTGTCTGAGCCAAGCCTGGGAGATTGGGTTGAAGGGAATCATGGACAACGAGAACCCGAATTGAATGTTTATTCGAGCACAAATGGCCCACATCACGAGTCATTACAACGGTTTATAGAAAAATCTGGTCACTCTCTGGATATGATGTCATACCCCTAAAACAAAAAAAAAAGTAATTTATAGAAACAAACACTAAAACTAAATGGAGACTGGTTGATTGTCTGTTTAAAGAAAATGACTGTAATCAACCACAAAATATCCAAATCTGAGAAATCCAGATGGATGGATGGATGGATGGATGGATGGATGGATGGATGGATGGATGGATGGATGGATGGATGGATGGATGGATGGATGGATGGATGGATG